ACCCGCACTGGGAGAGCATGCTCAACGCCACCACCCGCAGGATGCTTTCCCACAGGTGGGTCTGGGCCGCGGCCTTTCTCCACGCAGAGCGCCCACGCCACGGCTCAGCTCCCCTGCCTCGGTGTTTGGACAATCTGTGGAGCCCGGAGCAGCCCCACAGGCAGGGAGGTGCTAGGGATGCCGTGAGATCACCCTGGGTTCAGATGTGAGAAATGGTCAAACCAGCCGAGTAAAGAGCAAAGAGAGGAAAGGTTCCTGGCGCTGTGCCTGTCTTTGTCTCCACGGAAAGTGGGGGTCTTTTTTCTCTTTTCAAGCTGTAGAACTGAGAAACAGGGGTTATGGGGGCCTGAGAGGAGCACCCTGAGACGGACGATGCCAGGGCCTCCACTGGGTGTCTGAGGCCGCCCCAGGGACCCGGCGCCCCTTTCTCCCACTCTCCTGTCTAGCTCGGGAGCAGTGCGCTACCTGATGCACGTCCCGGGGAACACCGGCGCAGATGTGCTCCTTGTGGGCTCAGAGGGCTTCGTGCTGTTGGACGGGCAGGAGCTGACACCCCGCTGGACGCCCAAGGCAGCCCATGTCCTGAGGTACGGGGTCTACCCAAGGAGCCGTGCAGGTGCTGCACCCCTCCCCAGCACCCTGGGCACGTCCCACTGGCTGATGAGACAGCCCTGGGGGTGGGGCCGGAGGCCGTGTACTGCTGCCAGGGCCTCTTGCCTGTCTTTGGTGCTGCCTCGTGCCCCAGACTTCAGCTCCGTGTCCTGGGCTGTGGTCCAGATGTGGCCATGGGAGACTGAGGGCGGACCTGTTCCTGGGTGCATCCTTCATCTCAGTCTCCTCACTGAGACCCCTCGTGAGTGCTTCCTCCATATTGTTCCAGAAAACCCATCTTCGGCCACTACAAACCAGACACCTTGGCTGTAGTCGTTGAAAACGGAACTGGCACCAACAGACAGGTTTGCCGTTCTTCCTTCGGAGGTGGCACCTTTGTTCTTAGCTGAGGGCAGACTGGTCTGAAAGCAGACGGGGCTGTGGCCCAGGAGGCTGCTGCCCTCAGAGCCGCTGAGAAGGTTCTGGCTCCCTCAGAGCATCTGCCTCCAGGGCTGGCGTGGCTGAGGGCACGTGCAAGCCTTGAGGTTTTCCCAGTAGCCCCGACGTTGGCCCCCACAGTGTCCCCTCCCTCCCCAGATCCTGTTCCTGGACCTTGGCACTGGAGCTGTCCTGTGTAGCCTAGCCCTCCCGAGCCTCCCTGGGGGTCCACTGTCCGCCAGCCTGCCGACCGCAGACCACCGCTCAGCCTTCTTCTTCTGGGGCCTCCACGAGCTGGGCAGCACCAGCGAGACGGTACGGGAGCCGCCCTCGGAGCAGCCGTGCTGGGAGCCAGGGCCAGAGACCCAGCCTTGGGCTCCACCTGGGAGTGCCCAGAAGCTAATTGGTGCCTGGCCAACCTCAAATAAATTGAAGTCCAGTGACAGTCAATCAGGATGAGGTGGTGCAAGCTGAGGGAAAGTGACCTTAGAGGAGTCCAGGGAGAAGGGGCTGATGGCCTTCGGTGGATAGGGGAGCACACAGCCATGCCTTGAAGGGAGTGGCCGCTGGCAAGGACCAGGGTCAGGACCAGGTTGGGCGAGACGACCTGGGAGGTGGCCACAGAGCTGGGGCTGGCATGTCGGGGACCCAGAAAGGGCCCCTAGTGAACACAGAGCTCCAGGAATGGTCACTCTGACAGCAGTGTCCTGTGGGAGTGCTCAGTGAGGGGCGTGGGACCCATTGCTGATTCTTGCTCCAGGAAACCGGGGAGGCCCGGCATAGCCTGTATATGTTCCACCCTACCCTGCCACGTGTGCTGCTGGAGCTGGCCAATGTCTCTACCCACATTGTCGCCTTCGATGGTGAGTGCGGCCTTGGCCAGGGACCCGGGTGTTCCGCGGGGTCTGTCCTGGCTGGTCCCGAGCCGCCCTGACAGCTATGTCCCCCACCCTGCAGCTGTCCTGTTTGAGCCAAGCCGCCATGCTGCCTACATCCTCCTGACAGGCCCAGCAGACTCAGAGGCACCCGGCCTGGTCTCTGTGATCAAGCACAAGGTGCGGGACCTCGTCCCAAGCAGCAGGGTGGTCCACCTGGGTGAGGGTGAGCCAGACAGTGATCAGGCCATCAGGGACCGGTTCTCCCGGCTGCGGTACCGGAGGGAGGCGTAGAGGTACGCCCGCCAGAGCCTGTGGGAGAGACTCCGCCTGCTGACACTAAACGTCCTGGGAAGTGGGCCCCTTCCTGGGTCTCCGCACTGACTCCCCCACTCCTGACCCTGGTGATGGTCGCCACTGGGCAGTAGCGGCCTTACCAGTCCTCCATGATTGCACCCAGGGACGTGCATGGGTGAGGGGACACCCTGGGCCTCTCTCCTGCCCAGTGTCCTCCCTGAGTCCCCACACACGGTCTCACTCTGCACCCCACCAGGGTCCCGCTCACACCAGACAGCCTTCATAGTGGTCTCCCTGGGCCACCTTGGGCAGAACTGGGTCATGCAGCACCCCATCCTTACCCAGTGCCCTCTCCTTGCCAGCTTCTCCCCAGGCCAGTGCGTAGAAGGAGCCAGGGTGTCCCCAGGACAGGCCATCCCCCACCCCATCCTGTAGAAATCCATTCCCCCTTTTCCTCCTGTCCTTCATCTCCCAAGGAGTCATGGAACTCAGGGTACTGGGTCCTGGGGCAGCCTCAGGGCCTCAACGGGAACCTGAGACAGCTCCAGCTTCCCAGCCCTTCCAGGAGCTGCAGGGGGATCCTCTAGCATGGGGGGTGTGACTTGGTTCCTTTGTCCAGGCCCTGTGAGGAAGCCCCCAGCAGGATGGGTGGGGCCTGCTCTGGAGCTGAGCCCGAGGCTGCTCACAGGTGTCCTTAGTGGAGTTGCAGCCGTGTGCTGGCTGCACGTGCCGTGAATATCCCGAGGGACTGGCTGTGGGATGCGTGTTTGGGTCAGGCTGTGCCCTCTCAGTAAACACTGGAGCTGCTCCATCCCTGAAGAGGCCCCGTGCCCCAGGCATGGCAGGCACCTCGCCTCTCCCTTTCCGGTGCTCACACGCCCGCCGTGTCACCTGATGCAGGTCTCACCTCTGTGCCTTGCTGCTCCTGAGGCCCAAGGGCAGCCGTGGGGCTCTGTGCTGCTCGGACCGCCCAGGCCACAGAGCCTGAGCTTCGTAGCCAAAGCAGCCTGATGACCCACCCACCAAGGAAAAAAGCAGAATAAACATTTTTGCCTGAAAAACCCCGGTGGTCAGGCTGAGCCTAGCGTGTGTGCGTCTGCCTGTCTCCTTGCTCCCTAAGTAGTCAAATGGATTTGTTCCTGGGGGCGTGACCAGGAATTTGCGGGCCATCCTGAGTCAGGGTGGGGAGGACTACCAAGGAGGCGAGCACCCCCACCCAGACCTGCTCAGTCAGAAACTGGGTGCCCAGCAGTCTTGACAGCCTCAGGGCGTCTCCGGTTTGAGGACCCCTGCCCAACAAGCTGGTCACCCTGGCCCCATACAAGCGGGCGGGCTCCCACCTGGAACAGACGGTGGCCTCAGCACCGCGTGACATGGGGGCTGGCTGGAGTCCAGACTGAAGCCATGATGGTAGGGCTGGGCTGAGCTCTGGTGAGCAGGCAGGCAAGAGGAGCCCAGGCAGGGGCTTCCCTGAGATGCAGCTTTGGGTGTGGCAGCAGTGAGGGGCAGGCAGGTATTTTACAGAACCCTGCAGGAGTGTCCCGCGGGCATGTATGCAGGTATGAGAAGCCCTGTTTTATAGCCTCACAGGTATAACCTTGTTGCCGTTGCTCCTTGCCACGGTGTGGGAGGGGACATGGGGGCTGAGGTTGGACAGGTGGGTGCCCTTGTGCCAGGAAGCTATTTTCTTGTCCCTGAGAAAAGTAACCCAGCACACAAGGCCTTGGGTATGAAAGGGCCATAGGGCTCTGGGGACAAGTCCTGTAAGAGAACTGCCAGGTGGGCAGGGTAGGGCTGGAGGGAGAGGGGAAGGTTCACTGGGGTTGCAAGAGCTGCCCCCTGACAGCATGGGAGGGAGTGCAGGGGGTCCCCAAAGGGAGGGGACATTCTGTAGGTCACAGGAGCAGCTGTGCCCCTGGCCACGGAGGGGTGGGCAGGGCCATGAGCCCCACCCTGAGAAGGAGGAGTTGAGGGACTGGACCAAGGGGTGCTGTTGCTGGTGGGCAGAGGTTTCCCTCCCTGCAGTAACAGCCCACACCCCTGGACTGTGAAGATGCGATTCTTGCCCTGTAGGCACTGCGGGCCCTAGAGGGTCTGGGCCATGCCATGCCATGCCAGGCACTCTGGAGTTCTGCAGCCTTAGGGCAGGTTGGGGACAACTGCCCCTCCCCACAGGCTTCCTTAACTGAGTTTCCTCACTGTTCCCCCTCTGGAGGGCAGGTGTCCCCACACACTACCCTGCTCACCCTAGCCTACCAGAGTACAAGTGCCCCTGGCTGTCTCCCCCCAAAGACCAAATGCCCCAAGACTGCTGCCTGGGTCTGAGAGGGTCAAGTCCCTCCTCCACCATCAACTCCACACACCTGGGACCTGCCCCCTCCCTCTCCACACACTGCACACATCACTTGCACAATACATTCATGCATATGTACTATACACATGCACACCTCATACATGCAATGTATGCCACACATGCATCATACACACTACACGTGCCCACACACCACATATGCATGCCTCACAGTACACCTGCACATGTGCACTACACAACCGTGCGTGTGCTGTGCACACACACCACATGTGTGCCTCACAGTGCTACACATGCATCATACACACGCGTGCACACACACCACATACGCATGCCTCACAGTACACCTGCACACATGCACTACACACAATCACACATGTGCTATGCACACACACCACACGTGCCTCAGTGCTACACATGCATCATATGCTCATGCACACCACACCCATGCGTGTGTCACATGCACAGTCACACCACAAGCTGCACCGACAGCAGGATGGGCTCAGAGCCAGGGCCCAAGGGTCTTTTATTTTTGTGCTGGAAGCTGTTGGGAGTGACTGGATGTGAGCCAGTCCTATGGGTGGGGATGGCACCCCCCAACCGCTAAGATAGTTGAAGCTGCACCCCTGAAAGGAGCCAGTTGTACCTTCACCCAGTCTGGGGGAGTGGTGGGGCACTTGGGGGATGGGGAGCAATGCCAGCTCACAAAGGAAGGGTTGGGCAGGGAGGATCAGGGACACCTGGCAAGGATCCACCCTATGGAATGGGGGGTCTCACCTCGTCAGTGGGGTGACAATGTCAGAGTTGTCTGTATAAATCTGGGGGGGAGACCAGGCGCGGTGGCTCACGCCTGTAATCCCAGCACTTTGGGAGGCTGGGGCGGGCAGATCATGAGGTCAGGAGATCGAGACCATCCTGGTTAACACGGTAAAAACCTGTCTCTACTAAATATACAAAAAAAATTAGCCGGGCGTGGTGGCGGCGCCTGTTGTCCCAGCTACTCGGGAGGCTGAGGCAGGAGAAGGGCGTGAACCCGAGAGGCGGAGCTTGCAGTGAGGCGAGATCGCGCCACTGTGCTCCAGCCTGGGCCACAGACGGAGACTCCGTCTCAAAAAAAAAAATCTCGGGGGGGAAGCCGTGGCCTCGAGGTGGAAAAGCAGGTGCCGGCGCACCTGTGGACAAATTCTGGAACGCGTCTGGCGAGGGAGAAATAGGCGCAGCTCTGGAAGGCAGTGAACTTGAGGCAGGCTCAGCACGGCACTCTCTTGGGTCCTCTTCCAGGGTCACACTGGGCGACAGCGGAGAGGCTCTTGGACGGGGCAGAGCTCGCACCGAGACCTGCGTGTCCGCATCTCGTGACGGGTGTGTGGGAAGCCACCCATCTGTGCATCTTGCTTCCAGGTATTCGCTGGTTGATTTACTGGTTTTAGAGATGGGGATGGGCACCCAGTGCCAGACTGAAGACCAGAGAAGGCGGAGCTCCGTGCAGCCTTGGTCTCACCTCTCTTCAGGTAACAGGTGCTGCCCTGACCCAAGCTGAGCCAATGAAATCCTTCCCTGGGAATCCACACCTGGACCCCTTCCTTTTGGGCAGGGAGGGCTTGCTGGAGGGAGGGAGGCTGTGGCCCCACAGCAAGACTGGGCCCTCTGGGCACAAGGGGACACTGGTGCTGGGTTCAGCAGCCACCAGGACCTGGGCCAAGAGGGGGTGGCTGGTGCATTCATGCAGGATGTTGAGCTGCAGGGACTAGAGTGGCAGATGGGCCAGGTCCACTAGGCCACCCCATCTCCTCCCCCAGGGCCACCAGCCGCTGTGGGCTCCACAGGGGTGGGAAGGAGTGCAGGGCTGGGGCTTGAGTGCCGTGGCCTCCGCGAGAACGGGAACACGCTGTGGGCGAGAAGGGGGCTGAGAACAGGCTGGCCAGCTGGCATCCTGCCCACCTCGCTTCAGGGGCCCAGCAGCCCCCAGGCCAGAGCCGCCAGCCACAGGGCACTGCCTGGGCTCACCGTTTCTTCGTCTCCAGCGGGATCCCAGCCTCCGCCAGGAGGCCCTTGTACATGTCAGACTTCAGGAACCTTGGGTAGGAGTCCTATAAGAGACAGCGTCCAGACCCTGACCCTTCTGCCTCCTCACCTCTCAGCCAGCTCACCCCAAAGGGGCAGCCAAGCGTGGCTGGAACCTCCTCCAGCCGTGGAGTCCCCGGCAGACAGGGTGCTGGAGGCAGCCACCCCGGACCTGCCCAGACCAAGGCAGACTCAGGGAGACCTGAGCTCCTATCTGCCTGGGCCATGTCACAGCAAAAATAGCAAGAGCCCTGGTGGCCATGTGTAGAGCAATAAACCGCAGCACCTCCACAGCCATTACTAGGAACCAGGAATGGCTCCATGTTCCCCACAGAGTGAGGGCAGGGTTGTGGAGTCAAATAAAAGAACGAGGTAGGCCGTGCATGGTGGCTCACGCATGTAGTCCCAACATTTGGGAAGGCTAAGGTGGGCTGACTGCTTGAGCCCAGGAGTTCAAGACCAGCCTGGGCAACATAGTGAGATCCCATCTCCACAAAAAAAATTAAAAATTAGCCGTGTTTGATGGTGCGTGCCAGGAAGAGAGCCAGGATGCCAGCATTAGGTGCCAGGGACACAGCATGAGGCTCAGGGGCCGGCAGCCACACGTGGGGCCATGCAAACATCATGAAAGAATAATGCGGCCGGGCGCGGTGGCTCACGCCTCTAATCCCAGCACTTTGGGAGGCCGAGGCGGGCGGATCACGAGGTCAGGAGATCGAGACCATCCTGGCTAACCCGGTGAAACCCCGTCTCTACTAAAAACTACAAAAAACTAGCCGGGCGAGGTGGCGGCGCCTGTAGTCCCAGCTACTCGGGAGGCTGAGGTAGGAGAATGGCGTGAACCCGGGAGGCGGAGCTTGCAGTGAGCTGAGATCCGGCCACTGCGCTCCAGCCTGGGCGACAGAGCGAGACTCCGTCTCAAAAAAAAAAAAATAATAATAATAATGCTGGTTATGGTGAAACCCGCCCAATACGGTGAGATCTGAGTCTGCAGTGCTCTTAACAACATCCAAACTTGGCCGGGCATGGTGGCTCAGCCTGTGATCCCAACACTTTGGGAGGCTGAGGCAGAAGGATCACTTGAGTCCAGGAGTTCAAGACTAGCCTGGGCAACATGGCAAAATCCCTCTACAAAAGATTTTTAATATTAGCTAGGTGTGGTAGCTTGGAGAGGCTGAGGCAAGAGAACCACTTGAGCCTGGGAGGTTGAGGCTGCAGTAAGCCAAGATTGCGCCTGTCTGGAAATGTTCAAATATCAACAAAAATAAGTTAAAGCCGGACTCAGTAGCTCATGCCTATAATCCCAGCACTTTGGGGGGCTGAGGCAGGCGGATCACCTGAGGCAGGAGTTGGAGACCAGCCTGGCCAACATGGTGAAACCCCATCTCTACTAAAAATACAAAAGTTAGCTGGGTGTGGTGGTGTGCACCTGTAATCCCAGCTACTCAGGAGGCTGAGGCAGGAGAATGGTGTGAACCTGGGAGGCAGAGATTGCAGTGAGCCGAGATTGTACCACTGCACTCCGGCCTGGGCAACAAGAGTGAGACACTTTCTCAAAAAAAAAAAAAAAAAATACAGGCGGGGCTTGGTGGCTCACAGCTGTAATCCCAGCACTTTGGCCAAGGCGGGTGGAACCTGGGAGGCAGAGGTTACAGTGAGCTGAGATCATGCTACTGTACTCCAGCCTGGGTGAGTGAGTGAGACTTTGTTTCAAAAAAAAGCCTGGGTGCGGTGGCTCACACCTATAATCTCAGCACTTTGGGAGGCTGAGGCAGGTAGATCACGAGGTCAGGAGATTGAGACCAGCCTGGTCAACATGGTGAAACCCCGTCTCTACTAAAAATACAAAAATTAGCCAGACGTGGTGATGGGCGTCTGTAGTTCCAGCTACTCGGGAGGCTGAGGCAGGAGAATGGCGTGAACCCGGGAGGCGGAGCTTGCAGTGAGCCAAGATCGCACCACTACACTCCAGCCCGGGTGACAGAGCAAGACTCGCCTCAAAAAAAACAAAACAAAAAAAAACCTTTTTAGATCGAAACTTGACCCTTTTTAAGCATGTGATCTGGGCCAGTCCTTCAGCCCCTCTGAACCCGGTGTGTGCTCAGGACGGAACACTGACAGGACAGCGGCCAGGGCGGCCCCAGCCAGGTGGGGAAGGCACTCCCCGGGACAGAGTCATCGTGGGCAATGCATGTGCAGACAGAGCCCTCCAGGGTGGGGACACAGAGGCCTGTCTGGGACGCCCCCTCCCGCCCCTCCAGGCTGGCCCAGCACCCACCTTCTTCATGAGCATGTATATGTGTAGCTGGGCGTCATCCAGGACGTAGCGGTGGGGCTGGCACAGCCCCTCCAGGGTCCGCTCCATGGTCCGGCTGTCAATGTTGACCCAGCGGGCGGCGCCAGGGGCCAGGAACTGCCTAGGGGTGGGGACAGCATTGGGTAGTCCTGGCTGGGTGCATCTGCCCGTTGGCCAACCAGTACCCACCACACGGCACTTACTGGTACACAGCATCCACCAGGGTGGGGACCTGGGCCTGGGCTCCATAGCGAAGCTCCTCACATGCCTCCCAGAAGCTGAGGTTTTCTCCTGGGGGGCCGGGCACCCAGTCAAGGATACCATCGAGAGTGGCAGCCAGAGCCAGGGGGTTCCCAGGCTGGTTGGGCCAGGAGGGGTCCCCAGGGAGCTGGCAGAAACCGAGGCAGGAGGGGTCTCAGGCAGCAGCCTCCCTGCTGGGACTGGAGTAGGGGGCTGGGGGGATTCTCACCACTGAACTCCTTTCCCAGAAAGTCCATGAAGTGGGCCCGCCCCACGGGGTCCTCCAGGAGCTCCCGGAAGCTGAAGCCCCATCTCTCCACACGGAGCTTCGTGGGGGCAACCACCCTGGGGGGAGGGCGGGGCTGTTGGGGACTGACCCTCCTGCAGCCCCCCAGGCTGGGAGCACACCCGCAGTCCCCCTGCCCCGCCTGGGCTCACGTGGGGGCGTTCATGACCCAGTAGGCGTCGTCGTCTGAGATCCAGGGGTTGCTGGGCAGGCACCCCGACACGAGGGGGTCGTGGGGTCCACGCTGGCCGCAGAAACTCAGGTACCTGGAAGGGGGTATCGGGGCTGGTGCAGGAGGGGCCTCAGGAGCCAGGGCACTCAGCAGGGGTCTCCAGCTGCCACCCCCCACCCCACTCACGCCTCAAGGCAGACGGAGGACTTCACTCGGGTCCTGCCCAGCGCTCTCCTGCAGTACTCGATCTAGGATGTGGGGCCTGTGAGTCAGGTCCTGGGCTGGGGAAGGCACCCGGCATCCTTCACTCCCAGTCCCAGGGCTTACCTCCTGCTTATAGAAATCTCCACGCTTGGTCTGGAAGGGGACAGGTGGGCTGCAGTTAGATGCAGGTCCCCTGCTGGGGTCCAAAATCCCCAGCTGGAGGGCACCTCCCCAGGCTTAGCTCCTGCCCCCTAGACCTGGCAGAGATGGCGGCCCAGGCCTCCAGTCCCACCCCTTGGAGCCCCTTCTTCCAATCAGGGATCTGACTTTCCAGGACACCTCTGGGGGCCTAAGGTCTGGCGATCTGCAGAATATTCCACGGAACCCTGAGGTTCTCAAAGTTGCAATTGTGAGTAATATGTCATATTTTTTCTTTTCTTTATTATTTTTTTTTTGAAAGGGAGTTTAACTCTTGTTGCCCAGGCTGGAGTGCAGTGGTGTGATCTCGGCTCACCGCAACCTCTGCCTCCCGGGTTCAAGTCACTCTCCTGCCTCAGCCTCCCAAGTAGCTGGGACTACAGGCATGTTCCACCATGCCTGGCTAATTTTGTATTTTTAGTAGAGACAGATTTCTCCATGTTGATCAGGCTGGTCTCGAGCTCCTAACCTCAGGTGATCCGCCCACCTCAGCCTCCCAAAGTACTGGAATTAGAGGTGTGAGCCACCAAACCCGGCCTAATATGTCATATTTTCAAATATATTTAAATTATGTTGTTAAACATATACTTGAGAAATACCTACTAATGGGAATCACTGGGGAACCAGGTGTGACTTATTGAGTTCATCGGTAGGGGCCTCGCTGGGGCCAGAGCAGAGGAGGCGGACACTCTGCGAGTCCCAGCCTGTGTCCCCGTCCCCGCTGTCTCTGACCAGCTTTGTATGGGGAAATGTTAGGGTCGTGAACTTAAGAAGTTTTATCAGTGAGGTTCTAGGTGCATCAGTTCCAGACGTTGGGTCTGGATGGGACTCAGTTTGAACAAAGGGTTTTGCTGCTGCGGGGCTCAGATGCTCCCTCTGGTCTGGTCCCTGTGATTCTGGAGGCCTCCACCTGGAGGCAGGTTGCTGCTGGATCTGCTTAGGTCTGTCAGGCCATAACCCTGCTTGTCACCCCTCCAATTCCCTGCAAACCCTGATACTGTCCAGGAGAAGAGCCCCCTTCCTCCCCGCCATCCCCCTCATCCCCACCACTGCACTTACGTGCACCCAGGGCAGCAGGTGTGTGGAGAGAGAAAGCGAGAGTTAGCAGAGGCTTGGGGAAAATGAGTGACCGGGAGTGAGCAGGGGCTTGGGGAGGCTGCACCAAGTACCACCAAGTACCCTCTGGGTGGACCAAAGGACGGACAGACGGGCAGTCCCATGGTGGGTCCAGCAGGGTGCGGCAGGTGTGCAGAGCGAGAGGGCAGCCAGCACGCACGCAGAGGCTCACCATGTGCACACGGCTGGCGGCACAGGATCCCCGCCCTGGACTCTGCTCCAGCACACTGGGGGCCCCGGGCTGCGGAGGGGAGGTGAGATGAGGGGGGATGCAGTTCCAGTGGCCTGCTGACCCCCTTTAAGACTAAGTTCCGCCTCCCAGACCCCATGTGGAAACTGACACTCAAAGGAACTTGGGAACAGAGTTCCAACCTAGCCTTCAGCTGTCTCTTCTCTGCTCACCAACCCCAAATGGCCTGTCCACCAGGCCTCCCCACAGCCCCAGTTGCTCCCAGTCTGTGAACTCAGTCCCCACACCGCAGCGGAGGCCACCCCCACTCTGCCTCCTCCTGAGGGTCTGCAGTTCCCGCAGTCTGGTGTCCCAGTGACTCTCCCTTGGGCCCAGAGAGAAGCTGGCTTGTACTGTGGTCTAGGGATGGAGACCTGGGTTCTGATGAGCAGAAATGCAATTAAGTCACAAAGCAAGAACGTCCTGCCCCCACCAGGATCTCCAAGGCAGGTCCTTCCACAGGCTCAAAGCGGTGGTCCTGAGAGCACCTGTCAGGGGAGCACACTGACCCCTGCGCTGGCCAGTGACCCCACACCCTCACCGCGGGTGGGCTCACCGGGGGCCTGTTCACCAGCCAGTAGGTCTGCTCTTGGCACGCAATGACCAGCCTGTCCCCCTTCCTGCGCTGCTTGGCTGCCCTGGGAGGAGGAGACTGAGTTGAGGGCATGCCCTGCACACAGCAGGCCCTCGGGCCTGGACCTGGGCAGGCAGCCACACCCAGAGGTGCCCTCCACAGTCCCAGGGCCACCAGAACCTGGCCTGGTGCTGGGCTTCCTGAGTTGCCTGGGTTAGGCACCTGCAGGCGGGTCGGGGCAGGGCCTCACCGCAGCTGCTCCCTGGCCTGCATCAGCACCAGGTCCCACGCATGGTTGATCTTCGTGTGTAGCCGGTCATAGCACTCCTGGGGGCAGCAAGGTCTCCAGTGGGTCACCCTGGCCCTTGCCCCCAGTGAGACTGTGTGGGGAGTGGGGGGTTGGGGACTGTCTTGGGTCTTGGGGCCTGGGCTGTATGTTCCGGGGTAAATCATGAGGCCCTGGGAGCCATGAATGAGGCTTGGGTTCCTCCAGCTGGACCCAGCCGGGACGGGGCGGGTGGGGGTCCCACCTTCTCATAGTCCACCAGGGTCCCCTGTTTTCGGATGTTCTTCTTGGCCAGGTAGATGGCTAGAAGGACAGGGACAGCCTGCAGAGGGGCCAGCTCTGCCCTGCCCCACAGCATCACCCTGAGGCCCCCAGTCCTGGGAGCTTGTCTGGGGCCAGCCGTCCCCTTGCTCACCATAGTCCAGCTCTGCAGCCGGCCACAGGGTACTTGTCCAGAAGTACGGGGTCTGGCGTGGTGCAGGGAGAAGGTGTCCAGGACGCCTGTGTCTGTGCCTCCCCAGTGTCACCCCACCCTCAGACCTCCCTGGGAAGAAGCCTGGGCTGGGCAGGGGGTGTCTGAGGGTCGCATTGCCTGCCCACCACCCAGAGACTCCACTGACCACTGGCCAGTCTCTCCACCTGGAACTGAGGCCAGCTCGCTTCTTGGGGTCCTGTTGAGGGACTGCCTCCCTCACTGGTCACCCTAAGCCCCCATTCAGGGCAGGGTGGGACTGGGGGCCTGCACAAGTCTTGGATGTAGTCACAGTCTGTGCCTGGGGAGGGGTACAACTGACGGCAGGTGGGCCCAGGATCCTGATGTGGTTAGGGAGGGCAAGAATGCTGTCCTCAGGCCTCCACAGCCCCTCCCTCAGGGACTGGGCCTAAGGATCCCCAGGAAGACGGCAGAATCCTCTGCAGATACAACCGTCGTGAGGCCCTGCTGTGGCCCCCAGGAAAACTGAGGCCCCATCCCTCAGCCGGGTCCTTCTCACCACATGGGTACTTGCAGTCCAGGACTTTTGGGGAGGGGGCAGTGGACCACCAGCCCACGGTGAAGTGGCGAAGTCCCACTCCAATCCCAGCAAGCTCGGCAGCCCCTCCCGGCTCCCCGAGTTGGTACGTTGGGTGGGTGGTGGGGGTCCCACCGGCTCCCACCTGCGCCCCAGAGTCTGACCTGGAACCTGTAGGGCGTCTCGTCTGGCCGGAGCACGAGGCTACGGGGGTCGCGCAGCGGGTAGATGTAGCCGTGCTGCACCAGGACGGCGCCCAGGTGCCGGGCCTCTGGGGAAGGGAGGGACGGTGAGCGCGGGGCTGTGTAAGCGGTCAAGGGCGGAAGAGCCGGGCCTCCCCTCCCGCATGTGCTCCCCACTCCAGCGCGCTCTGCAGGGCTCTGAGAACTGCCAGCCCCCAGGAAAACCCAGGCCTAGGCCACCAGCCCAGTGACCCCAGGGCCCAGCGGGCGGCAGGGCGCTCACCCTCCTCGGAGATGCAGAACTTCTGGGTTAACCACTGCACGACGTCGCCGCCTGCACGGGAGAAACGGAGGTGGAGGGAGGCCGAGGCGCGCACGCACCCCCGCCCTGACGCGCCTCACCTGTCACCGCGTGGGGAATGACGGTGACCAGCAGGCGCTGGCTCCGCATCTTCACGCCCTGGTCGGGGTCCTGCATGCTCACGACCACCCGCTCCATCTGGGCGGAGGGAGCCGTCAGGGGCTGCTCTGGCCGCCCCCGCAGTCCTGATTCCCTGGCACCGCACCGGCCGGGATGCCCCGGATCCGGGAACAAGGAGATTAAGGCGCGGCGGCGGCGGATTCCAGGCCGCAGCTGGCTGCGGGGACGCGGGGCGGGCCGGGGAGGGCCGGGGAAGACCCCGGGAGACCCCCAAGGGACCCCAGGCCTCGCCGCCCTGCCCGGCCTCGCAGAGCCGCCGCCCCAGAGCCGCCCCGCCCCGCGCGCCCCGGTGCCTCCTGCTCTCCGGCCCCTCCCGGCCTCGGGCGCCGGGAAATCGGGGGTCGGCGGGACCCCCACCTGCCTCGCACCTTCCTTAGATGCGGCATCTGCGCCCGGGGGCGGCCGGGGGGAGGCGCGGGGCCGGCGGCCATGGCTGCGGGGCGAGGACGGCGGGGATGACCGAGCGCCCCGCCCAGCCCCGCCCGCCCCGCGCCGCGCCGCGCCGCGCCCGGGTTAACCCTCGGGCCGTGAGTCCAGAGTCGCCAGGCCCCAGTTCGGGGCCAAGAGTCACGGCCACGGCCCAGAGGCAAAGGAGCCGGCGCCCCACGAGCTACCTGAGTCACCCCCCCAAGTCCCGGGACGCTGAGGCCCTCATGGGTGGAGGCGAAGTGGGACAGGGGGCGTGGGCCTGGGACCGAGGGGGGATGTGAGGGGACGGGGCTGAGCTGGAGCAGGGGGTGGTCGCTGAGAGAGGGAGAGGGGCTCATCAGGGAGGGGGTTTAACCATGGGGAGGGTCTCAGGGAGGGCAGCGGAGGGGATGGGGGTTCGGAGAGGGAGAGGGGTTCCGTGAGTAGAGGAGACCCGTAGGGAGAGTGAACTGGGGTGGGAAACGTGGTTTAGGGCCCACTGTAGCCCTGGTCCTGTGTGTGGGGCCCTGAGGACATTGAGGGACCAGCGACCTGGCTGTGGGGCCGGGGCCAGGGCCAGGGGCCTGGTGTCCTGCGATGCCTGTGGCCAAGGCTGCACACGTTGCTGTGGCAGTGGCTGGTTTGGGGCATGAGAGGTTGGGTGCCCACACCAGCTGTCTGGCTTTCTTTTTTTTTTTTTTTTTTTCAGACGGAGTCTCGCTCTGCCGACCAGGCTGGAGCGCAGTGGCCGGATCTCAGCTCACTGCAAGCTCCGCCTCCCTGGTTTATGCCATTCTCCTGCCTCAGCCTTCCGGGCAGCTGGGACTACAGGCGCCGCCACCTCGCCCGGCTAGTTTTTTGTATTTTTTTAGTAGAGACGGGGTTTCACCGTGTTAGCCGGGATGGTCTCATCTCCTGACCTCGTGATTCGCCCGTCTCGGCCTCCCAAAGTGCTGGGATTACAGGCTTGAGCCACCGCGCCCGGCCCTAGCTGTCTGGCTTTCTACACGTGCTGGATGCCCGGTGTCAGTGGAGCACGTGGCTGCTGCAGAGTGTGACCCAGCTGTCCCCACCTCCTGCTGTGGGTCCCTTATCGGAGGTCCTTCCAGGGGAGTGGCTGACGGCTCATGACTCACTTCCCTCAGTTTCACACAGGCCTGGGTGGGCCCGCTGGGGAATGGGCAGAAACCCTGCCCAGGGCACCCTGACACTGTTGGAGAGGAGTTTTACTGCAGGGAGGACCTCAACAGACACCCACTTCGTGTCACCAGCGGCCGCCTGGCTTCAGGCCCCACTCCACTCCCAGCTCTCTCCCTTCTCCAAAGGCTTGGCCATGCCTATCCCCCAGGTGCATCCCGGGCCAGACCCAGGCCCTTCCAGCCCCACTGGGCAAGCTCGGCTCACTGCAACCTCCGCCTCCTGAATTCAAGCAATTCTCCTGCCTCAACCTCCTGAGTAGCGGGGATTACAGCCTCCTGCCACCACGCCTGGCTAATTTTTGTTTTTGTTTTTGAGACGGCGTCTCACTGTGTCACCCAAGCTGGAGTGCAGTGGTGGGGTCTTGGCTCACTGCAGCCTCTGCCTCCCGGGTTCCAGCGATTCTCCTGCCTCAGCCTCCTGGGTAGCTGAGATTACAAGCACGCGCCACCACACCCAGCTAATTTTTGTATTTTTAGTAGAGATGGGGATTCACCATGTTGGTCAGGCTGGTCTCAAATTCCTGACCTCAAGGGAGACTAGATCTTATTTTATTTTATTTTATTTATTTATTTATTTATTTTTTTTTGAGACGGAGTCTCGCGCTGTCACCCAGGCTGGAGTGCAGTGGCCGGATCTCAGCTCACTGCAAGCTCCGCCTCCCGGGTTCACGCCATTCTCCAGCCTCCGCTTCCCGAGTAGCTGGGACTACAGGCGTCCGCCACCTCGGCCGGCTAGTTTTTTGTATTTTTTAGTAGAGACGGGGTTTCACCGTGTTAGCCAGGATGGTCTCGATCTCCTGACCTCGTGATCCGCCCATCTCGGCCTCCCAAAGTGCTGGGATTACAGGCTTGAGCCACCGCGCCCGGCCTAGATCTTATTTTATTTTATTATTTTTTTTTGAGATGGAGTTTCCCTCTTGTTGCCCAGGCTGGAGTGCAATGGCACCATCTTGGCTCACTGTAACCTCCGCTTCCCAGGTTCAAGCGATTCTCCTGCATCAGCCTCCCTAGTAGCTGGAATTACAGGAGCCTGCCACCATGCCTGGCTAATTTTTTGTATTTTTATTACAGACAAGGTTTCACCATGTTGGCCAGGCTATTCTCGAACTCCTGACCTCAGGTGATCCACCTGCCTCAGCCTCCCAAAGTGCTGGGATTACAGGCTTGAGTCACCGCGCCAGGTCAGATCATTTTCCTTTTTTTTTTTTTTTTTTTTTTTTTGAGATGGAGTCTCACTCTGTGGCCCAGGCTGGAGTGCAGTGGCGAGATCTCGGCTCACTGCAAACTCCGCCTCCCGGGTTCATGCCATGCTCCTGCCTCAGCCTCCCGAGTAGCTGGGACTACAGGCGCCCGCCACTTCGCCCGGCTAATTTTTTGTATTTTTTAGTAGAGACGGGGTTTCACTGGGTTAGCCAGGATGGTCTCGATCTCCTGACCTCGTGATCCGCCCGTCTGGGCCTCCCAAAGTGCTGGGATTACAGGCTTGAGCCACCGCGCCCGGCCCAGATCATTTTTAAAAAACTAAGTCGAGGTCTCACTATGTTGCCCAAGGTGGTCATGAACTCCTGGGCTCAATCCATTCTCCTGCCTCAGCGTCCCAACGTGCTGGGATTACAGGCATGCTCAGCCACCGTCTTTTTTTTTTTTTTTTTTTTTTTTTTTTTTGAGACCGAGTCTTGCTCTGTCCACTCAGGCTAGAGTACAATGGCATGATCTCTTCTCACTGCAACCTCCGCCTCCCAGTTTCAAGTAATTCTCCTGCCTCAGCCTTCTGAATAGCTGGGATTACAGGCATCCGCCATCACGCCTGGCTAATTTTTGTATTTTTAGTAGAGACAGGGTTTCACTATGTTGGCCAGGCTGGTCTTTTTTTTTTTTTTTTTTTGAGACGGAGTCTTGCTGTGCCCCAGGCTGGAGTGCAGTGGCGTGATCTCGGCTCACTGCAAGCTCCGCCCCGCCGGTTTCACGCCATTCTCCTGCCTCAGCCTCCCAAGTAGCTGGGACTACAGGCGCCCACCACCTCACCCGGCTAATTTTCTTGTATTTTTAGTAGAGACGGGGTTTCACCGGGTTAGCCAGGATGGTCTCGATCTCCTGACCTCGTGATCCGCCCATCTCGGCCTCCCAAAGTGCTGGGATTACAGGCTTGAGCCACCGCGCCCGGCCGGCCAGGCTGGTCTTGAACTCCTGACCTTAGGTGATCTGGCCACCTTGGCCTCCCAAAGTGCTGGGATTACAGGTTTGAGCCACCGAGCCCAGCCTTGGCATCATTTTTAAAAGGTGCAAATGTGTCTATTTCTCCTTGCTTTTATTTATTTATTTATTTATTTTTTATTTTTTTGAGATGGAGTCTCTCTCTGTCGCCCAGGCTGGAGTGCAGTGGTGCAATCTCAGCTCACTGCAAGCTCCGTCTCCCAGGTTCATGCCATTCGCCTGCGTCAGCCTCTCGGTAGCTGGGACTACAGGCTCCCGCCACCACGCCCAGCTAATTTTTTTTTTTTTTTTGGTATTTTTAGTAGAGACGGGATTTCACTGTGTTAGCCAGGATGGTCTCGATACCCGACCTCGTGATCCGCCCGCCTCGGCCTCCCAAAGTGCTGGAATTACAGTTGTGAGCCACCCCACCCGGCCTCTTTTTTTAAAATTATTATTTAGTTATTTATTTTGAGACAGAGTTTCACTCTTGTTGCCTAGGCTGAGTGCAGTGGCACAATCTCGGGTCACTGCAACCTCCGCCTCCCGGGTTCAAGTGATTCTCCTGCCTCAGCCTCCTGAGTAGCTAGGATTACAGGTGCATGCCACCATGCTAATTTTTGTATTTTTAGTAAAGACAGGGTTTCACCATGTTGGTCAGGCTGGTCTTGAACTCCTGATCTCAGGAGATCCACCCACCTTGGCCTCCCAAAGTGCTGGAATTACAGGCATGAGCTATGTTTTTTTTTTTTTTTTTTTTTTTGAGACGGAGTCTTGCTCTGCCACCCAGGCTGGAGTGCAGTGGCCAGATCTCAGCTCACTGCAAGCTCCGCCTCCTGGGTTCACGCCATTCTCCTGCCTCAGCCTCCCGAGTAGCTGGGACTACAGGCGCCCGCCACCGCGCCCGGCTAGTTTTTTGTATTTTTTTAGTAGAGACGGGGTTTCACCGTGTTAGCCAAGATGGTCTCGATCTCCCGACCTCGTGATCCGCCTGTCTCGGCCTCCCAAAGTGCTGGGATTACAGGCTTGAGCCACCGCGCCCGGCCATGAGCTATGTTTTTATTTTTGAGACATGACCTCTGTCCGGAATGCAGTGGCACGATCATAGCTCACTGCAGCCTTGATTTACTGGGCTCAAGTGATCCTCCCACCTCAGGTTCTTGAGTAGCTGGGACCACAGACAGGTGCCACCACGCCTGGATAATTTTATTTCTTTCTTTCTTTCTTTTTTTTTTTTTGAGACCAAGTCTCACTCTGTTGCCAGGCTGGAGTGCAGTGGCACAATCTTGGCTCACTGCAACCTCCGCCTCTTGGGTTCAAGCAATTCTGCCTCAGCTCCCAAGCAGCTGGGATTACAGGCATGTGCCACCATGCCCAGCTTTTTTTTTTTTTTTTTTTTTTTGTATTTTTAGTAGAGATGGGGTTTCACCGTATTGGCCAGGCTGGTCTCGAACTTCCTGACCTGAAGTGATCCACCTGCCTTGGCCTCGCAAAGTGCTGGGATTACAGGCGTGAGCCACTGCGCCTGGTCACTAATTTTTCTTTTAATAATTTTTATTTTTGTAGATAAATATACACGTAGCTCCTCACTTATCCCTGTCTGTAAGGGCCTCAGCTTCTTGCTATGTTGCCTAGGCTGGCTGATCTTGAACTCCTGGCCTCAAGTGATCCTCCTGGCTCAGCCTCCCAAATGTTGGGATTACAGGCATCAGCCATGGCACTTGGCTACGTTTTTATTTTTTGAGAGATGGTGGTCTTATTCTGTCACCAGGAGTGCAGTGATACAATCATAAACTCACTGCAGCCTCAAAATTCTGAGCTCAAGTGATGCTCCCACCCCAGCCTCCTGAGTAGCTGGGACTACAGATGTGTACCACCACATATGGTCTATTTCTGCTTTCTCTTTTTTTTTTTTTTTTTTTTTTTTGAGACGGAGTCTCCCTGTGTCTCCCAGACTGGAGAGCAGTGGCGTGATCTCGGCTCACTGCAAGCTCCACCTCCCGGGTTCACGCCATTCTCCTGCCTCAGCCTCCCGAGTAGCTGGGACTACAGGCGCCGCCACCACACCCGGCTAATTTTTTGTATTTTTAGTAGAGATGGGGTTTCACCGTGTTAGCCAGGATGGTCTCGATCTCCTGACCTTGTGATCCGCCCGTCTCGGCCTCCCAAAGTGCTGGGATTATAGGCGTGGGCCACCACGCCCGGCCTATTTCTGCTTTCTTGGAGGCAGAGTACCTCTCCCCATCCTTACCCACTCAGGGGTTGCTGGGGGCTGGGCAAGGTGGGTGGCTGGTATTGGTCTAGGAGCCCCTAACATAGTGGCCAGCGTCCATTTCCATTACTGGAGAGGCCAGGTTCAGTATGAGCTGGGGCAGGGGCTTGTGGGGTCTCTTTACTCCAGGTAACCATCTCCCTTGGATCCCAGTGAGCCCTCCCATGCCCCACACACAGGTGGGGTGAGGTGGCCCAGGTCTGGCTGCCCTGTCTGCAGGGGTGGGCATCTATGGTGGCTGTGAGGCAGAAGAGGGAATGAGGGTAGCCAAGGGTTGGGCATAAGCAACAGAACAGCAGGTGCAGCCAGTTGTAGGCAGGATTGGGCAGCACACAGGCCACATCCTGGCTCCTGTGATAAGGAGACAGAAGTTTCCACTTCACCTCTGATTGGTCTCGGGCCAATCCTTCATAGAGTGTAGCCAATTGGAGGCTCCTACAGGGCATAAGGGCTGTGGCCAGGTTCCTTTGCTTGATAAAAATCCTAATTGCGGAGGCTCTGGAGCTACTTGCTGGAGCCCACTCCCATTCTGTGAATTGCCTTCCATAAATCTGTGCTTTCTTTACTCCGTTCTTCTGACTCAGTTCCTTTGTTGCTTTGTGTTTCCTTGTTCTTTTGTTACTTCGTGTGTTTGTTCAATTCTTTGTTCAACCCACCAAGAGCCTGGACAACTCATCTCCAAGACCTTCTATCTGGTAACAGCTGTAGGAGCTGGAGCTGGCAGCCTGGAGACAAGCGTCCTAACAAGCCCTGGCTCCCTACAGTGAAGGGTCAGGAGAGGTGGGGCTGTAGAGGGGCCTGGGCCCAAGCTCATACGATCCGGCCCTGGTAAGCTTGTGTGCAGGTGGGGGGCCAAGGGAGACAGTCCCCACCCAAACCCCAATGCCCCCTAGCACCCAAGGTGGTCTTCTGCTCAATCAAGGAGCTCCTTGGCAAAGGCGGGTCTAATTTCTGGTGTCCCTGGAACCAGGAATAGGGGACCAGGGGTGTCTAAGAAAAAGGGACTCAGGCTGGTGTTCCGACCTCTTCTCCCTTATTCAGACTCAGGTCTTTGGTCCAGCTGTCCCAGCCAGGGCCTGCTCACCCCTGTCCCCTGCCTGGTCCCATCCCACCCACCCACAGGTCTCAGTTTAGGTGTCAATATCAGAAGCCCCCTCTGTGCTCCGGGCTCTGCACTCCGGCCCCGGTGTCAGCGTCCTCTCCCCAAGGACAGGGGGTTCGGAAATTGGGTTTCCAAGAGCCCTGCAGGGACACCCCCTCTTGGGAACTCACACAGCCCAGCCAGGTCACTAAGCCTTTGAGGGGCCCTTGTTGCTTCTGTGGCCTCCAGACGCACCTTGGTGTGTGTGGGACTCGTGCCCACCGTGGTCCCGCCCTACGGATGACCGTGAACCTGTAGGGTGTTGGACCAGCCCCTCACCCCAAGGCTGGGCAGGCCCCAGGAGTACCCCTCGGCCCAGACAGAAGCTCCGACGGGGGAGGGGAAGGGGGAGCACGGTTCGGCCCCAGGTGTGGCCGCGGATAATGAGACCCTGGGGATGGGGGCGCACCTGCGCCTCGGCGCCCTGCAGAGGGTTTCCCAGGAGACCCCCACCCCCGCCAGGCTCCCGCCGCGCCGTGGGGGTGGGGCAGCGCTGCCGGCCAGAGCCGGGCACAGGCCAGGCGGGCGGCGGGGATCGTGACCGCGGCTGCATGCGTCCGCGTCCGGGAGCTTCTGTGCGGGGTACTGGCGCGCCGGCGGGGCGACCCGGGTGCCGGCGCCGTGCGGGCAACACGCGCGTCTCTGCGGGGCTGCGCGGGGTCCGCGAAGCGGCTGGGGGCGCGCGGCGCGGGCGCGGCGCTGGGCGCGGGGGGCGCTCCCGGCCGGGATGAGCTCACCGCAGTCGCGCCGGGGCTGAGCGCCGAGCGGGGCGGCGGCGGGGCGGGCGGCGGCTCCTCGGCGGCTCCGCGGCGGCCCGGGCCGCGCGCCACCATGCTGGGCCTGGACGCGTGCGAGCTGGGGGCGCAGCTGCTGGAGCTGCTCCGGCTGGCGCTGTGCGCCCGAGGTGAGCGGGCCGGGCAGGGGCCGGCGGCCAAGTGGGCGGGGGGCTTGGCTGTGTCTTAGCCCCGGGCGGGGAGCAGCCCCTCCCCCGCGGCAACTTTGGGGGCGCGCGTGGGGATCTCGCGGCGCAGACCCCCGGCCGGGGTCTGGCAGCGGTGGGGGACTTCATCCAGGCTCCACCCCTGTGGGGAAGGGAGCCAGGTGCTGACCGGTCCGCTTGTGAAGCCGCGGGGCTGGGACCCTCTCCCCCTGGGCACCGCCGCCTGGAGCCCCTCTCCCCTGGGTGGGGCTGGGGCTGGGGCTTGGGCTCAGGCTCCGTAGGGCGTGTGGTGATTCCCGAGAAGACTGGAGCGAAGTGGGCAGGGACTCAGAAACCCCTGCCCAGGGCACCAGGGAGAGGGGCTTCAGGAGACCACCAGCCCGGGGCACCATGGAAGGCGGCGCAGAGCCTGAGCCCAGGGATTTGGAGAGAGCGGCTCCCAGCCCCCCAGCACCATGGGGAGGAACTCCCAGACTGTGGGAAAGTGTTCAGAGACCCCGGCCCAGAGCAGGATGGTAGAGGGCCCCGGAGCTACCAGGGGCGGGGGCTGCTGAGGGCCGCTGCTCTCAAGCAGGTAGTCCCTGGCCCTGGGCTGCCCTCATTTGAAGTCTTACTCCCCCACCCTTTGGTCTTCGAGTCAAGGAAGGGGCCTTTGTGGACATCTGGGCCAGAGGAGCTGCAGGCTTGGTGGTTTCTGGAGGCCCCTCCTGAAGGTCTGGGTGCGGTGTGGCACCTCCCCAGGCCGCCTACCCTCTCCCAGAGGCTTCCCCTTGAGTCCCTTTGGGTAGTGGGAGGTACAGCTGGCCAGAGGGGGCTCCAGCCTGGTGCTGGAATGCCAGGGTCTGCTAGTGGCCACTACTCATGCCCCTCCCCATCCCCAGTCCTCCTGGCTGACAAGGAGGGTGGGCCACCAGCAGTGGACGAGGTGCTGGATGAGGCTGTGCCCGAGTACCGGGCGCCAGGGAGGAAGAGCCTCTTGGAGATCCGGCAGCTGGACCCGGACGACAGGAGCCTGGCCGAGTACAAGCGGGCGCTGCTGGGGCCCCTGCCACCGGCCGTGGGTATGGCAGGGGCCTGGGCTTGGAGGGCTGGGTCTGGGGGTGCTGGTGGGAAGCCCAGCGGGGGTGAGGGGGGGGCATCCTGCAGACTTCCAGTTTCTCCTCAGACCCAAGCCTGCCCAATGTGCAGGTGACCAGGCTAACACTCTTGTCGGAGCAGGCTCCAGGGCCCGTCGTCATGGATCTCACAGGTAACTCGCAGGGTGCTGCACCCTGAACGCAGGTAGGGCCCTCCCAGGCACACTCCTGCACCCTTGAGTTCCACACCTTGGGCCATCACAATCGCAGACCTCATGGGCACCACACCCCACGTGGGGGCTCCTGGAGCAGGTCTCAGCCTGTAGGGAGTTCCGACCCTAGCTGCAGTTTCCCCAATAGGGGACCTGGCTGTTCTGAAGGACCAGGTGTTTGTCCTGAAGGAAGGTGTTGATTACAGAGTGAAGATCACCTTCAAGGTGAGAGACAGGGCAGTGGGCAGAGGGGTTGGGGATGGGGGCAACAACCAGAGGCCTGGCCCCCAGAGGGAACTCCTAATGCCTCTTTTCCCAGGTCCACAGGGAGATTGTCAGCGGCCTCAAGTGTCTGCACCACACCTACCGCCGGGGCCTGCGCGGTGAGGGCAGCGGGTGGGGGGGGAACAGGGCGGGGGGGAGAAGTGGGGGGTGGACAGAGGACAGCCCTGATGCCCTCACCCTCCCTAGTGGACAAGACCGTCTACATGGTGGGCAGCTACGGCCCAAGCGCCCAGGAGTATGAGTTTGTGACTCCGGTGGAGGAAGCGCCGAGGGGTGCACTGGTGCGGGGCCCCTACCTGGTCGTGTCCCTCTTCACCGACGATGACAGGACGCACCACCTGTCCTGGGAGTGGGGTCTCCGCATCAGCCAGGACTGGAAGGACTGAACCCCCAGTCCTTGTCTCCCCCACCTCCCTCAGCTGCTGCACAGGGACTCCCAAGCATCCCCAGCACCCCTCGTGAGTGACCAGACCCTCCCCTGCTGCCCCTGCTCTGTCCCGGGACTCCCTGGGCCTGGCGCTGTCCCCTGAGCTGTCCCATTAAACGTGGCCCTGTCTCGGTGCCCTGCGTGTTGTCTCTTTCTGCCTCCCCTCCCCTGGGGGCTGGGGGGGCCGCACGGGCCTTATCTTTGCTGGAACCAGGCCTGTGTGCCACGTGGCAGCTGCTGCTTGGCTTCTGGCCCCCTTATCTGCCCCTGCCCCACGGGCCCTGGCAGCACCATGAGCCACCAGCTTCTGCCTGTACTGCTGCTGCTGCTCAGGGCTTCGTGCCCCTGGGGTCAGGAGCAGGGACCCAAGAGCCCCTCAGAGGAGCCTCCAGAGGAGGAAATCCCCAAGGAGGATGGGATCTTGGTGCTGAGCCGCCACACCCTGGGCCTGGCCCTGCGGGAGCACCCTGCCTTGCTGGTGGAGTTCTGTGAGTGCTGGGGCCAGTGGAGCTGGGGACCGGCGGAGACTAGCAGGGCCCACCTGGGGGCCCCACCCTTTGCCAGCAAATGCAGGGCATGTGCCTGAGAGAGGCCTCCCCGCAGGCACTTGCCCCCGCTGTGCCCAGAAGCTCTCTAGGAGGGTCCTGGGGGTCCGGTTGGGGCAGGCAGGAGCAGTGGTAGTACTGGGGGTACCCACAGGACATGAGCACCTGTACCTCCCTGCTCAGCCAGCGGCTTTGGTGCCCAAGTCGCCGCCTTGTCAGCCACTCCTCCAGCTGCCAGGGCATCCCACAGACTCTGCGGAGGCCCAGGCAGTGTTCAGGCTTTGGGGGCCCACACAGGTCCCCGATGCATGTGCTCTGTGGTCTTTCTACAACCCTTGACACAGATAGGAACCGTTCTTGCCTGGGAGGTCTTCACAGGCAGCCACATGGGCCTGGGAGCCCCAGCCTTACAGGGCAGGAAAGGGAGGGGTCTTTTCCTTTTTAGAAACGGAGTTCTGCTCTTGTTGCCCAAGCTGCAGTGCAATGGCATGATCTTGGCTCACTGCAACCTCCGCCTCCCAGGTTCAAGCGATTCTCCTGCCTCAGCCTCCCGAGTAGCTGGGATTACAGGCATACGCAACCAATCCTGGCTAATTTTTTTTTGTATTTTTAGTCGAGACGGGTTTTCTCCAGGTTGGCCAGGCTGGTCTCTAACTCCCAACCTCAGGTGATCTACCCGCCTCTGCCTCCCAAAGTGCTGGGATTACAGGCGCGGCTGTAGGGAGGGGGGTCTTTCAAGCCCCCCCAAGCCTTGTTGGTCCCTGTGCCGCAGCCGGGGGGCCACAAAGAGGCGCTGGCGCTCAGCTTGGCCATGGCCAGGGCTCAGGGCAGAATGGAGGAGCACGCTTGTTCCCTGCTGGGTTGTCAGGTGTGGAGAGGAGGGTGCTCCTGGGGTTGTGGTGGCCTGGGGCACTCACGGCCCCGTCCCCCAGATGCCCCGTGGTGTGGGCACTGCAAGGCCCTGGCCCCCGAGTACAGCAAGGCAGCTGCCCTGCTCGCGGCCGAGTCAACGGCGGTCACGCTGTCCAAGGTGGACGGGCCTGCGCAGCCCGAGCTGGCTGAGGAGTTCGGTGTGACGGAGTACCCTACGCTCAAGTTCTTCCGCAACGGGAACCGCACACACCCGGAGGAGTACACAGGTGTGGGCGCGGGCCGGTCGTTGGGGGGTGGTGGCCAGGCCCAGGCTGAGGGGGACTCCCTGCAGGACCACGGGAGGCTGAGGGCATTGCCGAGTGGCTGCGACGGCGGGTGGGGCCCAGTGCCATGCGGCTGGAGGACGAGGCGGCCGCCCAGGCGCTGATCGATGGCCGGGACCTGGTGGTCATCGGCTTCTTCCAGGTGAGCCACTGGGTGTGGGGAGCTGGGCCATGGGGGCAGTGACTGTGGAACCTGGTGGCCTCACAGGGCCGGGCCCTTCAGGACCTGCAGGATGAGGACGTGGCCACCTTCTTAGCCCTGGCCCGGGACGCCCTGGACATGACCTTTGGCCTCACGGACCGGCCGCGGCTCTTTGAGCAGTTTGGCCTCACCAAGGACACCGTGGTTCTCTTCAAGAAGGTAGGTCAGGCCGGGCGCGGTGGCTCAAGCCTGTAATCCCAGCACTTTGGGAGGCCGAGACGGGCGGATCACGAGGTCAGGAGATCGAGACCATCCTGGTTAACACGGTGAAACCCCGTCTCTACTAAAAAATACAAAAAATTAGCCGGGTGCGGTGGTGGGCGCCTGTAGTCCCAGCTACTCGGGAGGCTGAGGCAGGAGAATGGTGTGAACCCGGGAGGCGGAGCTTGCAGTGAGCTGAGATCAGGCCACTGCACTCCAGCCCGGGCGACAGAGCGAGACTCTGTCTCAAAAAAAAAAAAAAAAAAAAAAGAAGGTAGGTCAGGCCCAGGCGTGGGTTGGGGTCCGGCTGCAGCGCTCATTGACCCATCTGCTGCTGTCCAGTTTGATGAGGGGCGGGCAGACTTCCCAGTGGATGAGGAGCTTGGCCTGGACCTGGGGGATCTGTCGCGCTTCCTGGTCACACACAGCATGCACCTGGTCACGGAGTTCAACAGCCAGGTACGTAGGCTGCAGTGCCTGGGCTGGGGGTGTCCCAGGGTGGAGGAGTCCAGGGATGGGGGTGCCTAGGCTGGGGGTCCTGTGGAGTCATGAGCACCCTCCCTACTGTAGACATCTCCCAAGATCTTCGCGGCCAGGATCCTCAACCACCTGCTGCTGTTTGTCAACCAGACCCTGGCTGCTCACAGGGAGCTCCTAGCCGGCTTTGGGGAGGCAGCTCCCCACTTCCGGGGGCAGGTACTGGGGTCCGGGGTGAGGGGCAGCTGGATGGCGGCAGGTACTGGGGTCCGGGGAAAGGGGCAGCTGGACGGTGGCCGGTGCCAGTGTGGACTCCTGGCCTCAGGTGCTGTTCGTGGTGGTGGACGTGGCGGCTGACAATGAGCACGTGCTGCAGTACTTTGGCCTCAAGGCTGAGGCAGCCCCCACCCTGCGCTTCATCAACGTTGAGACCACTAAAAAGTACGCGCCTGTGGATGGGGGCCCTGTCACCGCAGCTTCCGTCACTGCTTTCTGCCACGCAGTCCTCAACGGCCAAGTCAAGGTCCGCTGCAGACTGCTCATAGAGGGAGGGGAACCCTGACCTCATCTACCAGCCTGGCAGGGGGTGGGAACAGCAGCTCTCAGGCCCCCACCCCTGCAGTCCCCGCAGAGGAGCCCCCAACTCCGCCGAGGAGCCCCCAACTCCGCCGAGGAGCCCCCAACTCTGCAGAGGACCTCCCTCCCCCCCAAGCCCCACAAGCCTCCCCCCCCCCCCCAGAGCCCCCCCCCAGCCCCACAGAAGGCCTCCCCCCTGAGCCCTGCAGAGGACCCCTAGCAAAGTGCCTGGCCTGGTCTCCCCCAGCCCTATCTCCTGAGCCAGGAGGTACCCCCTGACTGGGATCAGCGGCCAGTGAAGACCCTCGTGGGCAAGAATTTTGAGCAGGTGGCTTTTGACGAAACCAAGAATGTGTTTGTCAAGTTCTGTGAGTGCTGAGGGAGGCACGGGGTGTGTGGGCTGGGCAGGGGGTGCCCAGATGGCCGCGCTCAATGGCCCCTGTCCTAGACGCCCCATGGTGCACCCATTGCAAGGAGATGGCCCCTGCCTGGGAGGCGCTGGCTGAGAAGTACCAAGACCATGAGGACATCATCATTGCTCAGCTGGATGCCACGGCCAACGAGCTGGACGCCTTCGCCGTGCACAGCTTCCCTACCCTCAAGTACTTCCCAGCAGGGCCGGGTCGGAAGGTATGGGGAACAGGTGCCTGGGGAAGCTGGGATGCCATCCTCCTGGGCATGGGGCTGGGCCTGGCCTGTCCTCCAGAGCCTCCTGCCTCTCCTCAGGTGATTGAATATAAAAGCGCCAGGGACCTGGAGACCTTGTCCAAGTTCCTGGACAACGGGGGCGCGGTGCCCACGGAGGAGCCCACGGAGGAGCCGGCAGCCCCGTTCCCGGTGGGTGTCCCTAAGCCAGGGCTCCAGGCCTCTGCACAAACCGTCTTTACACAGGGCTGGTGGGGCGGGGGCAGGGGTAGGCTGGGAGCAGAGCTCCGAGCTGTACTTGTGACCCGTTCTAGGAGCCACGGGCCAACTCAACCGTGGGGTCCAAGGAGGAGCTGTAGCTACCCCCGTGTCACTCCCCTCCTCACCGCTGGACAGGAGGGCACCTCCTTGGGTGCTGGAGGGAGCTGTGCATTGTGAATAAAGAGCTTGGTTCTGGACTGTGTGTGCCTGATCCCTCAGCAAGGCTGGCCTGATGCAGCTCTGCCCAGACGCGGGCTCCTGGGAAGGAAGGTGGACCACGTTCATGCTCTAGCTTGGCCAGCCTCTGAGTCACAGGACGACCCCCATGCCTGCTGGAGGCCAGCATGACCTTAACCACAGGGGCTGAGGCTGGGAGACCCAGGCCAGGCCCCACTGGCAGCAGACACACCACAGCCAGGGCAGGTTCAAAAACAGTTTTATTTATTATCCAAGTACCTTTGAAAAGATAATTGTACAAGTGTCATCGCATGAAAAACAGACCTGGGCAGCCCCTGCTGGCCCTGGCCTGAGAAATGTACATATTTACATGGGCCCTCAGAAAGGAGGACCCGGGACCGCGCAGCCGGCAGCTGGAGGCAGGTGCAGTACCCCGTCGCCGGCTCACACAGTGGCAGGCAAGAGACAAGCTGTGTTGAAGGCACTCGGTGGCGAGTACAATTGACAGAGGCCTTGCAGGCCTCTGCGCCCAGGCCTGGGGCTGCGCCCAGCCAGACCAGGGTACGTGGGCAAATCCCAGAGGGAAAAACAGATCCCAGCACACGTGCCCAGGGGAGGCGCCGGGGCGTCGCTTGAAGCCGGCAGCAGGGACCCTGGCTGCCCCACTTGGGCTAGGCCCTCCAAGTATTGCTATGGGGAGTGTCCGGCTGCCTCCTCGGGGGCAGGACAGAAGCCTGTGGACCACGCGGAGGGACCCCTACCCGCCCAGACACGGCGAGACTGCAGGGGTGGGCGGCGCCCCCACGCTGTTCTCTATCGGGCTCCTGAGTACGAGGTCATCCGCCTGGCTGTGACACCTGTGCCCACCGAGGGCCTCGCCTGGTGCAGCGGTCAGCCCGCCAGCTGGTCAGTCCACCTTCTCCACTTTGCCAATTATCTTCTCCTCAAAGACGGGCAGGACGGCCTCATCCTCTCGAACCTCCTCGAACACCACCCCACAGTCAAACTCGTCGCTCACTTTCTTGAAGTAGTATCTGCAGGATGGAGGTGAGGAGCACAGTGAGCAGGCAGTGCCGCAGATGGGAGGAGGCCTGTGGCGGGGATGGCGTGTCCACACCCCCATCCCGAGGAGCCTCCTGTCCATGCCCCACCGCCCCCACCACTCCCACCACGTGCGCCCCTCCCAGGGCAACAGGGAACAGTGCAATGACCGCATGTGGGTGAAGTGGCAGCTACAGGGGGTGAGTTTACTGCCTGCTGGGAGGCACCCTACAGCCCCCTAGGAGTACCTGCCCCAGCCTCTCAGGAGGTGCAGGGGGGAAGTGGATGGGTGTGGGGTATCTGCTTCCCAAGGGCTGAGCCCTGTCATGGAAGTGACCCCGACTGGGGCCCTCCCTCAGCACCACATCTGCAGACACAGTCCACGGGTGTCTGCAGTCGCTTGTGGACAGAGGGAACCACCTCTGCCAGGCTCTTGTGGTCAGGCCCCCTCTGCTCACCCCCCAGTGCTCACTCAGGAGCCTCCAAGACTGGCTGCAGGCAGGCCCTCAGGGCTGAGGGGCCCAGGCCCAATGAACATTGGTAGGATGGGGCCTGGCTTTCCAGTTGGGCAAAAGGAGCTGAATCCAGAGCCTAGAGACAAGGCTGGCCCAGGGGAGCCCGACACAAGGTTCAGACCATTGTTGTCTGGGCCTCTGGCTGTTTTCTCACCCCGAAGCTGAGGGCCCTGGAAGGAGTCCCTTAGGGACCCTCTCAGTCCTGTGGGGCCGAAGGCCTGAGGCCATCCTCAGCCCAGGGCTTGGAGAACTGGCGTAGGTGCAGATGAGGGACAGGAGCTGAAACAGCCGGAAAGCCTTTTTTTTTTTTTTTTTTTTTTTTGGATAGAGACGGAGTCTCGCTCTGTCATCCAGGCTGGAGTTCTGGGGAGCAGTGGTGCGATCTCGGCTCACTGCAACCTCCGTCTCCTGAGTTCAAGCAATTCTGCCTCAGCCTCCCAAGTAAATGGGATTACAGGCACCCGCCACCACGCCTGGCTAATTTCTTTTGTATTTTTAGTAGAGAGAGGATTTCACCATGTTACCCAGGCTGGTCTCGATCTCCTGAGCTCAGGCAATCTGCCGGTCTCTGCCTCCCAAAATGCCAGGATTACAGAAGTGAGGCACCATGCCTGGCTAGAAACCCTCTTTTTCGTACTGCTGGGCACCCACGTACCCCTGCAGGGAGTGGGCACCCCAGCCCTCACACTCACCTGTAGCTGCCCTTTTTGGTCAGCAGCTCCTTGAACTGGCCCAGGGTGACAGCGCGGCCCCTCACCAGGGTGCGGTAGGGGATAGGCTCCCCACAGAAGTAGTATGCCACAACGATGCTGTCACACGGCTGGGCACTCCCGCCGCCCGCCTTCCTCTGCGATCTCGTCCTGGGGAAAGAGATGCAGCAGTGGTCCCTGGTTTTGGACTGAGGTCCCACAGGGTGCCTCCTGCTGGCCTCAGGCTGCCAGCAAAGGGTGGGGCAGGCCTGCAAACACCTGGGGCCCCAGGCCCCACTGCCCCCCCGCCGCAGCATCTCAATCTGGGGTCTACTCCACCAGCAGTGGAGTCTGACTCCACTCACTGGCAGCACAAAGGTCTCCCCGCTGCCTCACAGCCCCACCCTCGACTGGACAGGGCCTGGCCACTGGGCGCACTGCAGCTCTCACCTCTAGGATGGCAGGGCAGGCTGCATGGCTCCTATGCCAGGAAGACCTACGGCCCCCAAACCTTAAAAACATCTCAAGGGCAGGGATTGGACAAACAAAACTATGCACGATTTCTGGATGAGCCTGACCCCACAGTGAAGTCTGTCCCAGGACTGTTGCGGGTGCGGCCAGCAGGCCCTTCAGAGGGGGTGGGGCTGGCACCGTCTCCTGCCCAGGCTGAGCTGGGCCCTCCTCTTACAGGGGCTGTGCTTCCACTCACACCCTCTGCTTGGCTCCCCTGCCACCACCTGTCCCTCAGATGACTCCAGAAGCTGCCCCTGGCCCACTGGGGTTCAGGCCTCGGGCCTCCTGCTGGCTGCGTGCACTAGAGGCTGCCAGAGCCGACATCATGGCAGGAAGGCCTCACGGCCACCTCAGCCAGGTGACCGTCCACTTCGCACACCAGGGCCCCCACCCACCTGCATTCTTGGACTTTCTCCCAGAGCCACATCCTTGCAGCCCCCTGGAGCCAGGCCCATAGGAGAATGAGCCAACATGTGGGGGCTGCCCCAAGGACGGGTGAAGGCCCCTCCAAGACCCCCTAGAGGATGACAGCCACAACAAACCTGCATCTGGGGCAAGCCTGGTAAGGCCTGGGGGACCCCTGTTCTCAAGGCCCCTTTTGGGATATGCCCCTCCTGCCACCTTGAGCACACAAAGGCGCCACTGACACAGCCCATGTGGGATCACGTGGTATGGACACAGTAAGCCTTTCTCACGGGCTCGGAGTGGTCAGCACTGCAGGTGGGAGCAGAGCCCTGACTCACGGACTGCACGGACTGGACAGACGCACATAGTTGAGACCCACACTGCAAGCTGACGCACCTCGCGCACCTCAACACCTGCAGCCCCGACCCTGCTCAAGCCAGGTCTGCGGGGACCAGCCAGTTCCAAGCCGGGTGGGGCCAGGGGCAGGGGTAGGTCTCTGCCCCACAAGGGGCCTCCCATGACACCTGTGTGGATACAGGGCTGGCTGTGCCCAGGCCTCCAGCCGGGCCTGTTGGTCACTTATCGTCATGCTGGACAGTCAGCATCTCCTCTGATGGAGACGGGAGAAGGCTCTTGGGCAGCTTGGAGTCTGATGCCGTGGGACCCTCTCCTGCCACAGCTGCTTCTCAGCGTGGTACCTGAGCTCAGGCCCCAGGACGGCGGCTCTACCATGGGACCTGGCTTGAGACGCCTGGGCTGGGTGGGCAGGACCAGGAGGACCCTCAGGACGCACGTACTCTGTCTCGGAGAGCTCCATGTCCGACACGGCTGGTACCACGCGCAGCACTGGCGCGCACGCTGGCCTGACGCAGGCGCGTCCCCGCCGCATAACCTCCTGCACATACCTAGGGAACAACCCGCGTCAATGGTGGCTGCGCCGGCGGCCACCAGCCCTGGGGAAGGAGCCTCGACCAATGCTGCCGCGCAGGGACAGACGGAGCATGAAGGGGCTGTACAACCTGCCCCGTGAAGGCTCCAGTTTGCAGGGTGGACAAGACACCAAACCCCCTCCTAGGCCTCAGTGGTGCCAGACACTGCAGCACACTCCACACTCACAATCTGGGTACCAACCCCCCTGTTCCCCAGACCGCACTTTGGGGAGCTTCTGATCTGGGGTCCTGGGATCCTACCACCTCATCCCCTCTGGTGGGACGCCATCTCCTCCCGAGAGCCTGTCCTTGGGTCTCTGGCATGAATTCCCCACCAATGGCGTGGACACTGGCTCTGGGGTGTGGCAACTCTGTCTGCACCTCAGGGAGGCTGAGAGCCCCCCGGCGCCACAACTGAGGCCATCCTGGGGCAGCACGGCAGCTCCTCTCACGTGGACACCTCCACCGGGGTGCACTGGGCGACCCTGATGGTAGTTTCTACTCTACAGCCCGACAGGGCCCAGCACCCGACCTGCCTCTGGGCCTTCACTCCAAGTCTCCACAGCTTCTCGCAAAAACATGTGTCCCCTGGACAGACAAACCCAGCAACTCTGGGTTTCCCCACAGCATCCAAACAGGGGCAGGAAGGTCGTGTCTCAGAACGGCGGCAATGGTTCCACGGCTCAGCGGGCATCCCCTGCCATCATGTAGGGCCTGTGGGTGCCCGGGGAAAGGGCAGATGCAACTCGAGAGACCCCTGCTCAGCCCAACAAGGGGGCTCAGGAAGCCCCAGCAGGAGAGAGCACACAGGCCCAGGGCCTTGAACCTGCTGCACATGATGCCCACCCCCAGCTCATCTGCCAGCCCGGTCACACGCCCCAGCTCCGAGCACCACACACCAGGCTCCTGCATGGCAC